CTTGTCTAAAATTTAACTAAAAATCTTTTAGCTTTATGTATTTGACTGATTAACTTTTTTACCGGAACAGTTTTATTTTTATTGTGGTCACAGATTTACTGAATACAAAGTATTACAACAACTTTTGGATATTTCCCCGTAGTCTATGTAGCCAAATCTAACCATTTGTCCTGTTTGTTAAACTGAATTCTGTATCTATTTTTGAAAGTTGTGAACGTCACTGCAAGGTTTAAGGTTGGATTGAAGAAGATGAAGTGCCTCAGTGAAAAGTGAAGAAAGCTGTCTTAAATCTTCCTCTAAAGTTTCATCTTTGAGAATTTTAATGCCACTTATGATAATATTTAAAGCCGGGTCTAGGTTACTGTGGTTTTTTTTCTTTGCTCTGTTTAGAAAACAAAAACGGTTTCTGTTTTGATGGAGGAATCGGTCACGGTCTTGGAAGCTTCTGTTTTGCTTCTCTTACTACAAAAAAGTGCCTATGTAGAACCCAGCAAGTGTCAAAATCCAGTTTTAAAAATGTGTTGCCTCAGTTTAGGAAACATTGAGCATAGATTTCCTAACAGACATTATTTGAGACATTATTCAGTGGATTCAGTGAAGTTCTAAAAAATGTCAATTTCCTACTTTCAAGATCAATAACTTTGAAACAAATTAATGTAAAGTTACAAATATTACCTCCCCTGAACAGCAGAAATGTAGACAAGACAATAAGATAAGTTCTAGAATTGCGCTGCCAATGGTGGCTGCATGTTGGAGCAGCTCTGTTACTTTCATTCAGGGTTGTTGCTTTCAATAACTTTAATTCCTCTTTTTTCTGGATGTAAATCGCTTTTTTTGGGATAATTATTTCCTCTGATATCAGATGTTGTGCAGCTTGAAGGATTTTTACTGAAATCTTTTTTGCTTTTGGACATTTGTTATGATGGGTAACCATGACAACAAGGTAGTTTTTACAATTGAGAGCAGCTGATTAACTTCTCAAAAGCTCAAATAATGCCTCAGCTACAGCCCCAAATCACAAATGAGTTAAAAAGGAGGTGCCATGGGCGCATCCCCATCTATCTAGCAGAGGTGCTTGAGTACCTGACCGCCAAGATCCTGAAGCTGGTGGGAAATGCGGCTCGTGACTAAAAGGAGACCAGGATCATCCCCTGACACCTGTAACTGTCTGTCCACAATGACGAGAAGCTCAACAAGCTGCTGGGAGGAGTGACCATCGCTCAGGGAGGAGTTCTGCCCAAGATTCAGGTGGTCCTGCTGCCCAAGAAGACCGAGAAATCCACAAAGTCCAAGTAGACAGATCAACATCTGCAACCAGTTTCTTCTGATCTGCTCTAAGATGGACCGCTACAAGAGATCCTTCCTTCCCACAGCCATCAGCATCTATAACAACTCTAATGAAACCAGAATGATGAGCTACAACAACATTTAATTTCCCTTTGGGATTAATAAAGTACATTTGAATTGAATTGAATTTGAATTGAATAAAGCCTAATTCAAATAAATAAAAAATTCAAAGCTGAACAGTGTTTTAGGGAGTATCAGCAGAGTAACACAAAGATTAAAATTCCCCCAAATTAAGACTACATGATTCTAATTTACCTGTTAGAACGACGTTAACAGGAAACTTAAATGTCTGATTTAATTTTGGTAACATCAGGAACAATATAATGCTTTTCAGCATTATAGCTGAATTTATTTACAATAAATACTTCTTTCACTTCTGGTGTGTTTAGTTTCCCCATTTATATCCGCCCATTAACTACTCACCAATAACAAAGCTTAACACAACACCTGCTGTACACATGGAAATGTTACAACAAATACTTGTGCACATTTTACTAAACTGCGGAAACAGATTTTTACATATTCTATTTTTATTTTACCAACTGGCACTTGATTGGTTCTACAGTCAGGTTATTGATCTACCTATCTGCATTTTTCATTTGCAGCTAAGGTCAACAAGATAAGCACTATGCAACGCACATGTTTCAACATGTATGCTCTATTTACCCAGCTTCAAACCTCTGTGTTGATTAAACAAAATCACAAGTGTGGTTTGGCTTGCAAAGGATCAGCTTAAAACCCTCACTGAAAAAAAATCCTACAGCGAGTCTGAGAAGATTGGCAAGAAATCCCCTTTCAGTTTGCGTCCCTAACTATTGATCACAGACACTTCTGATGAGAATGATGAACTTGTTTTCCATCTGTTAGACTATGTGCAAGTAAGAGAAGAATGCCCAAACAAATGTGGTTCATAGTTTGTTTTAAGTTTCAAGTTTAAGTTGCTTGTTCCAAAGTCGGGTTGCAGGGGCAGCAGCTTGAGCAGGGAGGCCCAGACTTCTCTTTCCACAGCCACCTCTTCCAGCTCTTCTGGGAGGACTCCAAGGCATTCCCAGACCAACCAAGAGACATAGACTCTCCAGCATGTCTTGGATCTTCTCCGGGGTCTCCTCCCAGTTGGACATACCTGAGTCACCTCCCTAGGGAGGTGCCCAGGGAGCATCCTTACCAGATGCCCAATCCACCTCAACTGGCTCCTTTCAATGTGGAGGAGCAGCGTATCTACTCCAGGTTTCTCCCAGATGGCTGAACTTCTCACCATATCTCTAAGGGAGAGTCCAGCTACTCTACAGAGGAAACTCATTTAAACCACCTGTATCCGTGATCTCGTTCTTTCAGTCACTACCCAGGGTTTGTAGCCATAGGTGAGGGTAGGAACATAGACAAACAGGTAAACAGAGAGCTTCCCCTTACAACTCAGTAACCCCTTTCACCACAATGGACTGGCACAACATCCACAATACTGCAGACTCTGCACCAATTCGTCTGTCAATCTCACAGTCCATTCTTCCTTCACTCGTGAAAAAAAAACCCAAGATACTTGAACTCCTCCACTTGAGGCAGAACCTCACCTTCGACCCAAAAAGAGTAATCCACCCATGTGCTCTATAAATAAATCTGACTTGACTTGACTTTTTCGACTGAGGACCATGGCCTCAGATTTGGAGGTGCTGATTCTCATCCCAGCCGCTTCACACTCAGCTGCGAACTGCTCCAGTGAGAGCTGAAAATCATGGCACGATGACGCCAACTGGACCACAACATCTGCAAAGAGCAGAGATGGAATTCTGAGGCCATCAAAATGGACTCCCTCTGTACCGAGGCTGCACCGAGAAATTCTGTCCATAAAAGTTATGAACAGAATCGGTGATAACGGGCAGCCCTGGCAGAGTCCAGCTCCCACCCTGAAGGTGTCTGACATATACTGCCGGCAATGCAAACCAAACTCTCGCACTGCTTGTATAGGAACCGAAGATCCCGTAGCAACGAGCCCCCAATCCCACACTCGCGGAGCACCCCCCACATTGTACCCCGAGGAACACGGTCCAATGCTTTCTCCAAGTCCACAAAACACATGTAGACTGGATGGGCAAACTCCCATAACTCCTCAAGAACCCTAGTAAGGGTAAAGAGCTGGTCCAGTGTTCCAAGGCCAAGACAGAACACTCATTGTTCTTTCTGGATCCGAGGATCGACCAACAATTGGGGTAGACCCATATCAGCTTGGCACATCTCACCATGGGCAACTCGAGTGTGGAAATAGGTTCAGCCTCTCTAAAGGAGATTGGCTCCGAAGATCATCCCGTGCATCGATGTGTGCCCAACTATATCTAGTAGGTACCTCTCATCTTCACACACAAGCTCAGGCTCGTTCTCCACCAGAGAGATTACATTCCATGTCCCAAGAGCCAGCTTTGGTAAGGCTGGGTCAGTGTGCCAAGGCTCACACCTTCAGCCACTACCCATGGAGTCATGCACCTGACTACTATGGCTCCTCCTGCAGGTGGTGGGCTCACAGAAAGGCAAACCCATGTTGTACACTTTTTAGCAGGCAGGCTCCTCCACACACAATGTCTGCATGATCTCTGTCCAGGAGCTTTATGCCATTTGACTAATTTAATGTGTTTGAACAGTCATGTAGCCAAATGTCTGAGCGCATTTCCGCATTGACGAACATGCCCACAAACTTCTGACCAATTACACAATACTTGGCACATATGCCTGTGAGAAAAGTCAAGTCAAATCAAGTCAAGCACATTTATAAAGCACATTTAAAACAGGAACTGTCACCATAGTGCTCACAGAAAAGGTTTGGCCCAGGCCTTGTGTCGAGAACTGGTGGGCGAAGTTACTCTGAGAAAAAAAACAACACAATTTTCATCACGCAATTACATCAATGAGATTTTGCAGCTTCGGCTGGAGTATGCAGTGCACTTTAGTGTCCTGTTGACGTCTCCATGCCAGTTCTGTTCCACCTTTGCTTTGTCACTTATTTCACTGTCATTGCTGATGACAGCCACTACTGATCTATAATCTTCAGCAAACTTAGTGAGTTTTTTTTGGATATTTAATTGTACAGTCATGTGTGAGCAGAGTAAAGAAACGAAGAAAGGACCAAGCATACATCCTTGATGAGCTCCTGTGCACAATACAATGAAGTACAATGTCTTACTTCCAACTTGAATTGTCTGTTTTCTTTCTGACAGTAAATTTAAAATCCTTTTACCAGTATGTTATAGTTAGGTTTTCAGTCAGGGGGATCTTCTTAAAAATATCTACACGGTTGCAATTGGCAAGACTGATTTCATATGACACATTTTCTTTTACCTGCAAAATATCTGTATCAAAGTGCCTCTTTGCTGTACAGAAAACCTTGTAAAATGATGCAGACAATTACAGTGCACCCAGCTTCAGCCTTTAAATGGACTAAGCGAGCCATAAAATCTACTAAAATACTAAAACTTAATGTGAGGCAATAACAATGCTTGATAAAAACAACATATCTTGTATAGCTGTGCCAAATCTTAACCTGTTGGCTAATCAGTACCCAGGCAGCTTTGATATTGGATTTACTGGCAACTATCACTTGTCATTCTACATTTACAGTCATTGTTTTGTTTTTGACCCCGTGTTTTTATTGATTATCAGATGCCAAGATGCAGGAGTTTGACCAGGATTCCCTTATCTCTGATATGTTACCAGGTTTGTGCCATTACATCTTTTGAAAATTTTCTTAAAAGCTGTCTGTGAAGTGGTGAAAACAGGTTTATCTAAAAAACACAGTTGTGCCATATAAGTCAGCAGCCTCACCACATAAAAGTATTTATATTTATAAAAACATCATGAATAATGTTCTGCTGATCACTTGACAAGTTGTGCTTATAAAAAAAACATAAAAAGCATAGTTTTGCTTGTAATTCATGTTTATGTTTGGAGAAATATGTGCTGTCTGCATAGAACACACGCCCTGTTTGAGCCACAGAACTGTGCAAATGTTTTAAACCATAGTTTCAATGTCTAACAAATACATTTTGATCTTTGAAAATGCTCTTGATTAATAGTTCTCATGGCTTTCTTAAGGTTTTGTAAAATTATTTAATGGACATTGGCTGCCTTTTCATTTGTTTTCTGTGCAGTTCTTTTTGCTAACCATGTCAGCATGTATTATTTACTAAGGTGTCTTTTAGTTGACTCACCACTGGTTCATCTTTTAGGTTTAGGATTTTTTTTATGTCTGTGTGATCAAAGACAAGTGTCTTAACAAACTAAACAAAAAATCTTCTGAAAATGGTGATTACTGCACCGGTAATGTGTGGAAAAAACAGCCAAAGTCCAAAGGAAGTAAATAATAATTAAAAAAAAAAACTTCAGAAAGTCTGAAGAGATAATGATGAAGACCTCTCTAAAAGGCCACAAACGAGTCTCAGTTTTTGGATACAAATTAAAAAGAAATGAGGGATGATTCAATTATTTTATTCAAATATATGAATTGGAAGACTGATTAGATAAAAAAAAAAAAATCCTTAGAATTAGAGAATCCTGTTCTGCTTCTTTACCAAACATACTGTTTGAGACAGATGGCTTCGTTACAGATTTCCTTAAGAATCAAACAAAACTCAAGACGTACGTAAAACAGCTGCAGTGAATAAAATCAACAATCAGTTTAACAACAAAGTCCTATAATAAGTATGCAGTCCAATAAACAGCTGATAAAGTGATATGAATGGAAAACAGACAAGACAATGTGCAAATTTCTTGCATAATGATGTTTTTTGTGTGTGTTTCAGAGAATTTAACTGAATTCATGGAATGTTTTGGTAAGTTGCAACAAAATCTCTGGAGAAATGTGTACACACTATAAGAAAGAAAGATTTATGAGTTAAAGTTCATTTGAAAATGTTCTCTTTTGGCACTCCTTATCTAGATCCAGATGAGTTCTCCAATTATTTCAAGTCTGGTTGTTTTGAAGACATCATCAATGACAGTAAGAATTTCCTCTTTAGTCAAACATTTTCTTAAGGATTTTATAGGGATGCACAATATTATTGGCATGGTATTGGCCGATATTATCGATAAAGTTAAATATCTGACATCGGCCATTCCCACAAAATAACTCACCGAAATAAAAGGCACTGTTTATATATATATATATATATATATATATATATATATATATATATATATATATATATATATATGGCACTGTTTTGTATGGCAACCCAATGACAAGAATGCCTGCAGTGCCAGCACGTTATAACGTCACGTGCGCCATTGAGTTTTGATTTGTGAAAAATTACACGTTTGTACTATTCGAGTGTTGTCACTGTGTTAGAGAGTAAATGTCTTGAATAAATTTGACATTAAACATAATCCAAGTTGAAGTATTACATCATTTTCAGCCACTTGTTTGGCATCTGCATTTGGTAGCAGGCCAAACTGACAAAGACCGTGCAGAATAATGTACTTGTAGTATTTTAATTCCACAGCAGAGAAAGCTAAGTAGTTTTTGTAAGTAGGTCTAGGAGCAAGAAATGTCGGTATTGGTTATCGGCCAAATAAGTTTTAACATATTGGCAGATCGGATATTGGCCAAAAATCCAATATTGTGCATTCCATAGTATTTTAGTAATCGTGTTCAGAAAAGCCCAGTTCCCAGCCGTGCTTTTTCAGATCAGTACAGAAATACATGACAGTATCAACTTTTTGTAGTTTCTCTGTCTGTCAGATGCTTCACTGACTCTTACTTCCTGTGCACCACAGATGAGACTCTCAGGCCACTCGAGGCCCCCACCTCATCCATTCACCACAAGGAGCCACAGACAGTGAAGCTACAGAAGAATAAAAGAAAGAGACAGAGAAGTAAAAATCCAGCTTTGTAAAATAGTCTTTAGATTTGTGTTCACAGCCCAGACATACTGGAATTGTAAAGATCTCCATATCGCTTGCAAATTCATTTTGTCTTTTTCAGCTTCCCAGCACACCAAAATGAATCCCACAACAAAAAGACTAAAAGTAACAGGTAACAAATTTGAAGATTTTTAAACTACTAAAAAACATTACAATCTTTAGAGAAATAGTCTGGACTATTTCATAGTAATGTTCTGTCAAATAATTAAGTAGTAAGTAAGTAAACTTTATTTATATAGCACTTATCATAGATACAATCACAAAGTGCTGTACAACAATAAAGAAATAAAGGCTTAAAATAAAACAAAAATAATAACAGCTCATTAATAAAAACAGTAAAACATTTAAATAATTATGAATAGTTAGTACCTTAGCGGACAGCACGGTGGTGCAGTTGGTAGAGCTGCTGCCTCTCAGCGAGCAGGTTACCCTGGTTCAAACCCCGGTCCAGGGGCCTTTCTGGGTGGAGTTTGCATGTTCTCTCCGTGCATGCGTGGGTTTACTCTGGGTACTCCGGTTTCCTCCCACAGTCCAAAAACATGCATGTTAGGCTGATTGGTAACTCTAAATTGTCCCTAGATGTGAGAGAGAGAGACAGTGAATGGTTGTTTGTCTCGTTTGTCTCTGTGTCTCTGTGATGGACTGGAGACCTGTCCAGGGTGTCCCCGCCTCTCACACTGTGATGGCTGGACATGGGCACCAGTGACCCCCGCAACCCGAAAAGGAAGAAGCGGCTAAAGATCAATCAACCTTTATTTATACAGGTAAATCCCATTGAGCCTCGAGGACTCATTTACAAGAGAGACCTGATTTCAACAAAGAAAGATGACAACAATGGACAACAGCAACAACAATAAGCAGTTATAAAAACTCATACTACAGTTTTTTTTTTTTTTTTTTTTTTTTTTTTTTAACAAATATAATGGATGAATGGATGGATGGATGGATGGATAGTACCTTATTAGCCATGGCATCAGTCAAAGAGCACATAAAGAAGCAAAAGCTTTTGTTCATGCTAGGCTAATGGCTAGCCTCCTTTGACTAGCCATTAGCCTAGCCTAGTTGTGTGAATGCTTATGAAGCATTCATACAATTGTGATCCATTTTTCTTGTCCATTTTTTGGCATTTTGTTCCACAATTTTTGTGCCATTTCAGCAAATCATGTATCAAAATGTTCAGCTCTTTCAGGACAATCCTGCTATGACTTTTGGTTTTGGTGCAACTTTAGCTTTTTGAAATATTTAACCTTTCTGCTGTATATTTTGTCTTAGAAAATGAATTGAGTTCATTTTCCAGCCTTCAAATCTTTAGATCTGTTTATTTACAACCTTTCATTGCTCCTTTCACATTTTGTTCTGGTTCAGCTTCGTTCAGCTTCCTTGTGCAAATTTAAACTTTTTTTCAGCTACTTTCAGATAGTTGTTTTTCAGCTGTTTTGTGATCCTTTCAGATTCTTTCTGCTGACTACATAATTTTTGTGCTTCTTCTAACTTCTTTCTGCTAATTTCAGCTTATTATGCTCCTTTCAGCTTATTTATGCAAGTTTCAGCTTTTTCTGCTATTTCAGCTATTTAGCTGGTTTTTATGCTTGTTTTAGCTTTTTCAGCTAATTCCATATTTTTTGCACTCGTTTTAATTGTTTTCAGTCAGCAAAAATGTGATATCTTAATTCCTTCTGGCAATTTAAGCTTCTTACAGCTTTTTTAAGCTGGTGCTTTATTTACTTAATAATTTTTTTTTTCTAATTTCAGCTTTTTTCAGATAATTTACACTTTTTTTTTTGCATTTCAGCTTTTTTCAGCCCAACTGGGAAAACGTGTTCTTCCTACTTTCTTGCTAATTGAAACTTGTTCTACCTTTTCAGCTAGCTCGTTAGCATTTTTAGCTAATTTCAACAGTTTTCAGATAAATTCAACTTTTTCATGGTAATTTCGTCTACTTTCAGCCTAATTAACCCTTTCTGTTAATTTCAGTTGTTATGCTCTTTAAAGCCTAGTTTCACTTATTTCAGCTAGCCATTTTATGCTAATATTAGCTTTTTCAGCTAATTTCACAGTTTTTGCACTCATTTAAGCTTTTTTCAATCTAATTCAGCAAAAATGTGCTCCCTACACTTAGTTCTGTTAACTTAAGCTTCTTTCTGCTATTTTAGCTAATTTTCAGCTGTCTTTTGCTTATTCCAGCTTTTTAAGATAATTTCCTTTTTTTGTGCTCATTTCTGCTTCTTTCAACCTAATTGGGCACAATTGTGCTCTCTCCACTTCCTTCTGGTAATTTAAGCTTCTTTCTACCTCAGCTAATTTTCAGCCTTTTTTTTGTTGTTGCAAATTTCAGCTTTCAGAACTAATTTACACATTTTTGTGCTTATTTTTGCTTATTTAAACCAAATTCAGCAAATATGCCTTCTTTCTTTTTCTAATTTGGGCTTGTTCTTCCTTTTCAGCTACATTTCAGCATGTTTTTGGCTCATTTCAGCTGTTTGTTTTAGCAAGTTCTTCAGCAATAAGCAGTCACACTGCATTTTTGCCAGAAATGCAATTTCTCTAGTTTTGCTTGTTTTTCAGTGTTATGAAACAACTCCTTTTAAAAATGACATACTGGTATGAAAGAATGCTATTAGCATAAAAAGTTGTTTTAAAAGCCTGAAAAACTTTATTAAATATACCCTCAATTGAATAGCCATTAGCTTAGCCTTGAGGAAAACCTTCCCTTTGCCCCATACTCTGCTCTACCGACTGATGTCAATAAGGTAAATAATTACTGAAAACTATTTAACAGAACATCACTTTAGAAATGACCAGACTATCCCATTAAATGGGCAACGCAGAGGAAAAAAGACCATATTACCTTGCTGCTTTTATATGGGGTGCCATTTGTAAAGTTACAGTCAAAAACCATCAGCAATATGTTGGTTTATTTAGCTTTTCATAAGAAAAAAATTGTTGTTTTTTTCCAAAGTCATATTTTCACCATGTTATTCATACATTTATAAATGGCATAGTTCCCAACTAAATATTTAATTTACAAGCTAAATATTTAGTTTACAAACTAAATACTTAACATGCAAGTTAAATATTTAGTTAGTAAACTAAACATTTAGGTGTAAATTAAATATTTAAGTTCCAAGCTGAATATGTATTTTCAAAACTAAACATTTAATTTCCAAACTAAATATTTATTGTCCAAGATAAATATTTAATTTCCAAGCTAAACATTTAATTTCTAAGCTAAACATTTGATTTTCAAAATAAATATTTAATTTACTAACTAAATATTTAACTCGGTGATCTAAACTTTTTTATTTTATTTACCCTTTATTTATACAGGTAGTCTCATTGAGCCACGAAAACCCATTTTCGAGAGACCTGTTTAGGGAGCAGATAGGGGCTAAGGGGCTTGCTCGGGGCCCCAGAGTGGGGCGAATGAGGGTGGAGGGAGGTGTGGGTGTTCCACCTTTTCCACCCAGATTTTGATGTTGAGTTGAACCTGTGACTTTCCAGTCACAAGCCCATCTTCTAACCTCTGCGCCACCACTCCCCCAAATATTTACCTTACATGTTAAATATTTAGATCAAAGTTAAATATTTAGTTAGCAAATTAAATGTTTAGTTTGGAAATTAAATATTTAACTTAGACAATAAATATTTAGTTTGGCTTAGTTTTGAAAATAAATATTTAGCTTGGAAATTAAATATTTAATTTACACCTAAATATATAATTTACTAGCCATTATTTAGTTTTCAAACTAAATACTTAACTTGCAAATTAAACATTTAGTTGGGAACTATGACATTTATAAACGTCTGAAAAACAGAGTGAAAATATGACTTTGAAAAAAAAGTCTTTATTTTCTTATTAAAGGCTAAATAAAACAAAACATTGCTGTTAATTTTTGACTGTGTAACTTTACAAACGGCACCCCATTCGTTTAAACCTTTATCATAGTTACTGTCTGCCATAACAATCCAGAGTCCAGATTCTTGTATCAGTTTATTGCACAAATTACCAACCAACAACCAAATTTTTAATCGTCATCATTTCTTTATCTTTTTGTTTACCAGTTTGATAACATTTTTTTCTCTTCTGGTTTATTCTCCCACTCAATCTTAGTCCCATAAAAAATATTGCAGTTCATGCAAATACTTATATATATATAAACCTTTATGCTGCTGTCATTTTAACATTGCAAATATATTTACATAAAAATAGGCACAGTAGTTTGCGGTCACAAAAAGCAGCAGCAGCTAGCTGCAGCACCTTAGGTTTAGCATGGGGCATTTTCTACAGACTAATTTTTCAATGCTTGTTTGAGAACAACCATATATTACAAATTTAACAATAATGTAAAGGTTTGAATTTAGCATTTAGATTTAAAAAAATGCTGTGGATTTGTTTTCATTAGAGCTGTATTAAGATGGCAGTAATCCACTTTGGTCTTGGTTCTGCTCAGACTAGCCATTAGCTCATCATTCCTATAAGAATTTAACTCTGTTTTTCTAAGTTGATGTTATTAGAAGAGCTGTCTACATTATTTTGAAGGACTGAAACCCATTTTTTACTGTTGAAATAAAATGTTCCAACGCAACGTAACATAGGAACAAGCTCGTTTTTAAGGCAGCTCTGCAGGATTCGTTATCTTCTGTGATGAAGCAGAAATATTGAGTTTCTTTTGTCACCTGATGACTTACTACAATTCTTTAATTCTTCTTGTTTGTAGAGCAACCAGTCACCCCTGACGCAAACGGTGAACTGACCATCACTCCAAGTGAGTTTTTGTGCTTTGTGTTGAAAACTGATATTTTATTGAGAACATCATAGCTTTTAGCAAACCATCCGTCCTCAGTGGTGATTGTTACACGGATCAAAACATCCAAACTGGGCTCGTATCAAAGAGTAAATAAGTACAGAATGTCTTCACAGAGCAGGTGGATCACATGCTGCAGCACTAAGATTTATAGAGGAAAGCTATTCTAACTTGTCACGCTTGGTTTACTTCCTTTGTCGGTTTAAAATGTAGATCAGAAAACGTAAACAGCAAAAAAAGGAAGTGCCATTTTGAAGTTAATCATGTTCGATGTCACTCCGATAAATTGAAAGAAGAACTCAGCTCGCTCAGCTTCCTCAACATTATTTTTTGGTGTGCGCAGTCAAAGTGTGAAGATCACTTTAAAACTTTTGTTCATGTTTACTTTCATTACAGCGATTTACTCTTGATCTCTTAACAGACTGATGGGTACAGCACAGAATCAAATGAGATGTTAACTAGAACTAAAATGGATTATATGTCAATTTTATGCCTACATTAAGAAGTTCAATGAGATTAAATTCTTTCTTTCTGAAATCTGCTCCTTGTTTTCCCTCCTCCGGCTTTGATTCAAGGAACCAGTTTGAACAAAAAAAAGTTAAGCATGTTGTCTTTGGTTGGGTTGCAGGTGCTGAAGCAGAATCTGTGCCAACTCCAACTCCAGAACCAGTTAGAGACCTCCACCCCTCCCCACCACTGTTTCAGGTCTATCCATCCCCACCGGCCACGTCCATTCCCATCCAGCTCATCTCCCTCCCAGACAATTCAGGATATCAGGTGGTCCAGTTGTCCTCTTCTCCTCCTCCTCTCATTGGGCTTCCACTCTCCAACATCACGGCTACGCCAGCGTACATCTTAGGTGAGTTATATGTAAGAAGAAAAACAACAACAACAGATCAGGAAGCTGTAGAAAATATTGTACTGATTAGGTTCATGGTGTGTTTCAGTTGTGGCTAAAATGTGTTGTGTTACAAGCTCAACTGTGCCTAAATGCTGCTGTGATTAGCAGCCACAGACTTAGACTGAGCAGCCAAAACATTATGACCTTTTTCCATAAATGCATTCAGAGCCAAGAATTGTTTTAACACATTTGAATACAAGGTTGAACGTTTCCCACCAGAACATGTTGTTGTATCGTGATACAACATGCATACTTGTGCTTTCATTGCTCATCAATGCTGCAGCTGATTGGTGTACAGAAACATATATTTTGGGGGGAACTTTAACAGCTAGACAAAAATCTTCATGCATTAAAACACTTTATTTTTTCATAACGAACTTGATTGCACCTCTGCAGTGTCTTTCCTATGTGTTTATCACAAGCTATTACTTACTTTTTAGTGACTAATTTGCTCATGTAAAATATAGAGAGGCATTTATGAAATATGAGGGGCCACTGTGGTGTAGAGGTTGGACAGCTGACTAGGGACCAGAAAGTCGCAGGTTCAACTCCCCGCCATGCCCACACGTTGTGGTGTCCTTGAACAAGACATCTAATCCCTAACTGTTTCCCGAGTGTATATCACACGTGTGATGGGTTTGGCAGAGCACTAATTTTGTCATTGTGTATAAACATACATTGATGACAACACATAGCAATTTCTTCGTATTATTATTTGAATTGCTCCTTTAAATTTAGATGTTGAAAAGAAAATTGTTCAATCTACGAGACATCTGTTCCATATCCACTTCAAAAACTTGAATGGAAGATAAAAATATAAAGATACATTTAGTGGGACACCAACTTGATATATGGGAGTCCCTCAGGGCTCAATCCTTGGACTTCTTTCAAATGGCTCTTTTTCTCCATAAAAATTTAAACTGTTAGAATTTTGTGAAGTTAATTGAGTTCAAACTGTGTTTTACACAATCTGAGTGCAGGTTTTTTTAATCAAACACTCCTTCCAGATTGCACTTGTCTTCATCTTCTTATTATGGTGTTAGTGTGATTTTTATTTTATTGTCTTAAATGTCAGTTATATATTACTATTTAATTATATAAGATGGACGGTATCAACATTGTTCTTTTTTTGCTGTTTCTAACTTAGTTCCTGCCACCCCTCCACCCTGCAAACGCAAAGTGCTCCCACTCTCTCCAGGTGAGCACTTATTAATCACAGATTTTGATGGATCTGTGTGTTCAGTGATTGTGTGTTCTTCAGTCCTTAACTTTTACATTTTAAAATAATTTTTCTCTTGTGTTTGCAGTGAACGGAGCTGTAGCACCTGTTCTGATGAGTTCTTTCCCACCCAGTTCTCTGTCAGACATGACCAGCAAAGCAGTGTCCCCACCTCCATCCCCCAGTAACAGTAGGCATCACGATATTTATGATATCCATGAGAATATCTGTGAAAAAAACAAAACAAAACATAATTTGTTGATTTTCAGAGGTGTCCCCCTGTAAGGAGTCACCAAGGTCTCCCACTGTGGATGAAATTCCACGTAAGTCCCTGGAAGCTTCATGGTTACGTTTTTCAGTTTGTTCCCAATTACTTAAAACTTCAATTAATTATTGTGAGCACACAGTTTGGTATTCACATGTTTCTGTCCCTTAGAGCGTGTAAAGGATTATATTCAGCAATACAAGGCACACATGGCTGAAATCTGCCATGATATGGAGGCAGGTTTGAGCCTACATACTCATTACGTAGATGTGCAAGTGACTATGAGAGAGATTGTTCGATCAGGAAAGAACACAAACAACAGTCTGGACAAGGAACTTATAATCACTGGAGATGTAGATCGCCAAAAAAGCTCCATGGAACAGAATCAGGTAAGAGTGTCACCATGATGTGGTTTGCTTTCAAAACGACAAGACCACAGAGTCATGGTCTACAAATCCTGGCAAAACATAGTGAACCACAACTCTAAATAATATTTTATTCAGCTTATCTTGTATTCTAGATTTTTTTTAATCTATCTATCTATCTATCTATCTATCTATCTATCTATCTATCTATCTATCTATCTATCTATCTATCTATCTATCTATCTATCTATCTATCTATCTATCTATCTATCTATCTCTCTCTCTCTCTCTCTCTCTCTCTCTCTCTCTCTCTCTCTCTCT